GCAAAATTTACATGCATTTAATATACATTTTCCCATAACCATTAACATTAAATAAATACATAATTACAAAATAATATTAACAACAACAACATGAACAATTGAGACAATTGAGTATATATGCGAATGCTATAACCCAATCAAGTGTTATAAGCAACTTTTAAATCATTATCGCATTTTAGATACCAAAATTATTTCCAAAACGCGAATTCATTCGCTTCTCACTCAGTCGATGTGAAGTTCTGCCTAGGCTCTTAAGGGTCAAGCAGAGCGCATTGCATACACACACACACACACACACAAACACACACACACACACACACACATGAATTACATACGAACTAAAAGAAATGGCATACAAGTAATTTTAAATTGAATAAAATTAGTATTAAAAATATGTACAACAAATTCTCAAGTTGTTTTCGTATCTCAATGGGATTTAATTGGGTTGCCTAACTAGACAGAGTTTAACACACACATATTGAACTAATCAATGCTTAACATAATAGTATTTCTAAGGCTAAACAGCTGCACACAAATCGAGATTGATTTGCAGGCGTGCGAAACGGTAATCACGGCTGTCCGCATTGCGCACCAGACAGAGCAGCGGCTGTCCCTTGGCACGGATTGGGTCGGCTTTGCGCTCCTGGAGCAGCTGGCGCAATCCATGGACCGTCACGTAGCCGACGCCACAAACGGCCGCCTCCACGAAGCTGAAGCCGGCGCTGCTCACATAGCCAAAGACCTCGCGGCTGCACTGACGCCGCACGCTGTCGTGCGTCTCGGCCGGATCCGTGGGCAGCCAGAGGCTGCACATCTTGGCCGACTGATTGCTGACCAGTGATGCCGTCTTGGCGGGCCGTATGTGCACGCGCCGCGTGCTCGTCTCCTGCAGGCGCCGCTTTTCGCGTACACGACGCGCCCGCAAACGCTTGAGCAGACGTTTGTGGTCCAGGCGCAATTGCTTGCGCAGACGCTCGTTAACATCCGAGAGCAGGGGCTCCGTATGCACCGGCTCCTGATTGTCCTGCTTCAACTGCCGCCAGTGGCGTTTCCAGTCGAGGCTTGAGGGCAGGCAAATCAATGCATTGCTCTCCAGGCTGCCGCGTGTATGCAAGCGCAATGCCACCTGGACGAGACAGTTGTCAGTGGGGCAATCCGGGAAGGGTTCTCGATGGCGCACGCATCCATCCAGGCGCTGCAGCAGGGCGCGATTGCGCATCACATAGAAGCTCTTCGCAGGCGTGGCAGGCGAGAGATTCCAGTCACGCACCAGCGATTGCCATGGTGCCTTAAAGGGACTGACCACCGCCAGCTTGCGGTAGTTGCAGCGCTTGTTGGGCGGCAGACGAAAGTAGCGGGTGCGCCGCTCCAAGGCTGTTCTCGCTGCCTGCTCCAAACCTGGCCAGATGAAACATATCAGAAATATCAGATTACAGAATGCTCACTGAATCTTACCAGCGACAGTATCCGGCAGGTGCTGGTCGACGCCCAGCTCTCTAGCCACGGAGTCGAATTCACGCAGCCCGCCAGGACGGGCGCTCCACATGATAAGCGTCTGCCAGAGTACCATGCCGTAGCGAGCGGGTGCAATCACATCCCAGCCAGCAGCGTAACCCAAGCGTTTGTAGTTCGGCTGCTGCGATCCTGGACGTTGAATGAGCAGCAGTGGCAGCGGCTGCATCTGCTCCTCAAACGCACACGGCTCGCCGGGCACAATGGCGTGCCTTTGCCGCAGTTGATTGTATTGATGGGTCGACATCATTTGCTCGCTGAGCCGCACTCGCAGCTCCGGATCCCATAAATCGCTGAAGGGCGGGCTAGCTGGCGGCATCATCAGCAACTCGACCGACTTGCCTACGGATGACGACAGTTTGGTCGCTTTGGTGCGCTTGCTGGGCCGCTGCAGACGCGGATCGACCACATTGACGCCAAGTATCACATTGGATAGGACTTCGCTGGGCGAGTGCAGCTGCAGGGCAGCCTCGCAGTAATCGGCCTGATCTAGCAGATCGCTGGGCGCATCGAGCAGCTTCTTCGATGTGGATGATTCGGAGCTGTTTTGCCGGCTGGCGCGCAGACTGGCAGCCAGCACGCACTGAGAACGAGGACCGGTTAGACGAAATCGATTGAATTCCTGGTCCAAGACCAGCATCTCCATGCCAGTGTCTTTATTGATATAGCTCCTGTTACGTTCGAACGCCTTGGTGTGTGTGACGAAGCGCGGAGCTTGGTCGTCTGATTCAGCGGGTAATGGAAGCTTCTCCTGTTTTGTGGACTTTAGCTGAAACACTTGAATTAGCTGCGCAAGAGTCGCCTCAACGGCAGCTGGATGCAGCCAAAGCCACAGAGTCCGCTGTGCCTGCGTCTCCGGCTGCTCGGCGGGGCGCCACATGAAGCTGGCGCTCTGCAGAGCACCCGCCGGATACTGGCCATCGGCGAAGAGCTGAATGGTGCCCTCGCGACGTCCACTCAAATATGTGCGCGCTGCAATGCCCAGTCCACAATCTGGACTCGTGAGTCGACCGAAACCGTGGCGTAGCTGGTCAACAGTGCCCAGCATTTGCACGCAGCTATAAAAGGAAATGTCCTGCAGGAGGCAGTGCTCGGCACTAGCGCGATAGCAGGCCCGGTACGTCTTGTCACAGCTGGCATAGGGAAGCCGATAGCCCCAGCGATCGATCATGTGGAAGCGCTTGGCATGCCAAATATGCGTCTCGAGCCAGTTGATCTTGCGCTGCCGTCGAATGTATTCATTCAGCAGATTTTTTGGACGGCGGCGATACTTGCGGGATGGACGCTTGCGATTCACAGGCTGATTGCCCGCTTTGCTCATTTGAGAACTATGGGCGGCACGGTATTTGCGCGGCAGGCGCTTGGGATGGTGGGACATGGCGCGTCGACGCATATGCTTGGGCAGCGTTTGAAAGATGAGCTTACTGCTGGCCGGAAATTGGGCATCCGCGATCATGGATTTGATCTCCTGCAGCACTCCAGATGCATAGTGATAGGTGGCCACATGACTGGGCAGTGTCACATGTCCGCCAAGGCTGGCATCGTATTCAAGCTTTTGCGAGCTCATCACGCAGTTTTTCTTGAACTCTTCTTTGGCATAAGAGAATTAATTACCCATAAATTCAAACAAAACAATTTAAAGCACCGGCACGTGTATCGCTTTGAGATGAGTGATACAGGCGGTGTCGTCTGACCAGCAGTTATCGATATCCATAAATATTGGAAACTATCTGTGCGCACAAGAAACTATCGCTATCGCATGTTCAACTACAAGTCGTTCGAAATATGAATAAATCATAATGATATTAAGATGGAATACAAAAATATAGCCGAGTTGCTGTTAAATAAGGTTTATATAATTTTATTAAGTAATTTCTACAAATTTTACTTCATGCTTTAAACGATTTGAAATTTAACAGTTTATTGTTCAGTGCTGATTTTGTCGTGATAGTTGTTGTGGTATCGATAGTTTTTGTAGTGCATGAATTATTTTTGAAGCCAAGTTTTCACTTGTTTTACTATCGATATAAGATCAACACTCCGAGCTCTTGCTTTGCGGTGAGCCAGCGCCTATTTTAGTGTGTAAAGCGGCTAATAATGCAAAGATGGTGGCCGGTGCAGTGGTCAGAGCTTCTGCTGGTTCTGCTCTTGGTCACTGCCTCACGGGCCGCGTCTGGCCGTCCACCGCATAACACAACGACAGCTAAGCTCAGTCTGCGGAACAACAGCTTCTGCCAGAGTGGCCTCTTTTGGCGGCTTCCCGCTAAAGACACCTGCCCCGGCTCCATACTGCCGTTGCGTGGCACCGTGTACATTCTGTATGATGTGAACATCTCTGAAGGATTCAATCTGCGTCGCGATGTGTACATACGCATGGCGGTCTTTGTCCGTCGCCTGCGACGCCGCAAACGATTTCGTAATGTTCGACTCGTGCTGCCGCCCTGGCCACGGCTCTACCACTGGCACTCACATGGCCTGGACCAGAGCAATCTAATGTGGCGCAACTTTTTCGACTTGGATAGCCTGCGTCGCTATGCGCCGGTCCTCGACTACGACGAATTTGTGGCCGAATACCGTCAATTCGGTATGCCGGCGCCGCCCTACGTGCACGTCTCCCAGGCCTTTCGCCTGACCCACTATGAGATCATGAAGGAGCAGGGCATATTCCGGGACAAGTACGAGCGCATAACCCCAGAGGACTCCAATGGCCGCCGCATCGAAGCGTGCAATGAGAACTCCGTCAGTGGCGGTCCGCTGCTGCAGCAGCGACTCCTACGCTATGACCGCTATCACTGTGTGCGATTCCAGGGCAGCGCTGGCCTGCTGGAGCGCATGCTGCGCGAAGCCATCGATGAGGATACGTCCGGGATTGAGGATGTCGACGACATGCGTGTCTATGCGGTGCTCAGCGCCGAGACCGTGCTCCACGACAATTGGGGCGACGAGCACTTTTGGATGGCGCGGCGCTCGATGCGCTTTTCCAAGTTCCTGAACCAGGTGGCCGCGGACTTTCGTCTGATGGCGCTCAGCACCACGGACACGACGGCCGGCGTGCAGCGACCCGCCATGTGGGAGCTGGAGCGGCCCAAGCGCGATGCACGCGGCGGCGACTACCTGTGCGCCCATCTTCGGCGAGGCGACTTCGTGAGATCGCGGGAATCGACCACGCCCACGCTAAAGGCGGCGGCACAGCAGATAAAGCAGCTGCTGCGCGCATTCAACTTGACCACAGTGTTTGTGGCTAGCGATGCGACGCCATACGAGCTGCTGGAGCTGAAGGAGCTCTTCTATCGATTCCGGTTTGTGCACTTTACGCCGGAATCGAATGTGCAGCGACAGCAGTTGAAGGATGGCGGCGTGGCCATCGTCGATCAGCTAATCTGCGCCTATGCCCGCCACTTTGTGGGCACGTACGAGAGCACGTTCACCTACCGCATCTACGAGGAGCGCGAGATTCTCGGCTTCAGCAAATCGAGCACCTTCAATACATTCTGCAAGGCGTTGGGCGGCAATTGTGCCCGGAATGCCGTCTGGCCCATTGTCTGGAATGACGAGGATGATGAGAGATTTTACTAACTGTATTTTGTTTCGTGCATTTTGTTTTACACAGACAGCATATTACAGCCATTTATTTTTTTTAAGTGTAATAGTTAAGTGTATTTTACATAGGAATATTTTTGAATAATGTGAAACTTCGAACAAACTGCGATGCCATACCAAAAAAAAAGTTAAACTCATTTTAAACGTACATTGCCACTCACACATGTACATACATATATTTTGGATATACAGGGAGAACTGATAAAGGTATGTCATGTACAGTTTATTTTTTTAATGTGTATTATAAGTTATTTTAAACAACTTCACTTTGAATATTTAAATAAACGATATAATACTAGGTGTCACAGAATACCGATAACAGTGTTTTTAGTATTTATTTGGTATTGTATCGCACAAATACCAATAGTACAGATGTATCGATAAGTCCGAAGCAAAATCCAAAGTTTCAGTTCACACAGTCGCACGTGTTTCGTTTTTATTAACTTATTAATTTTACTGTAACCAATACCCGCTGCCAAAATGGGCAAAAAGAACAAAGCTGGCACCAATCTGGGCCGTCAGCTAATTAAAGATCGTTTTGGCCATACGCCACGACGCAAGGTGGACAACGACACAATGGTGCGTAGTAAATTCTTCCACTGTATGCAATTAGCTAATTACATGTCTATGCGTATAAAAACACGCAGCTACACACAACAGAGCTGCAGGATGGCTACGATTGGGGTCGCCTAAATCTGTCGTCCGTAACCGAGGAGTCGTCGTTCAATGCATTTTTACGCACTGCAGAATTGGCGGGCACGGAATTTCAGGCCGAGAAGCTGAACATTACGTTCGTTAATCCAAAGCAGCGTGTGGGTCTACTTAGCAAGACACAGGAGCAGACGATGCACCAAAAGCATGCCGAGCATCGTGATCAGCTGAAAATTCCACGTCGTCCCAAATGGACCAAGGAAATGAGTGCCGAAGATTTGGAGCGTGCCGAAAACGAAGCCTTCCTTAATTGGCGTCGGGATTTAGCACTGCTGCAGGAGAGCGAAGAGATCCTTATGACTCCGTACGAAAAGAATCTCGAATTCTGGCGCCAGCTGTGGCGTGTCGTCGAGCGCTCCGATGTCGTTGTCCAGATTGTGGATGCACGTAATCCGTTGCTATTTCGTAGCGTCGATCTGGAACGCTATGTGAAGGAGGTGGACAGCAACAAAATGAATATGATCTTGGTGAACAAATCAGATTTGCTAACGCTGGAACAGCGACAACACTGGGCACAATATTTCGACTGTGAGGGCATACGCACTGCCTTTTACTCCGCCACCCTGGTGGAGGAGGAGCTAAAGCGGGAAGCTGAGGCTGCCAAGCATGCTGATGAGTCGCCGTCATCAGCGATGGAGCTGAAGCAGCTGCGCGAGGCGGCTGAGGAGATTCAGCAATCACTGGACGTGGTCGAGCACGCACTGGAAGCCATAGAGAGCAAGATGAGAACCACGAGTGAACCGGCAGTAATAACAGAACCCAAGCTGCCCAAGCTGCCCACAGACAAGAACAGCGCACATCTGCTCTCTCGCACAGAGCTCATCGAGTTCTTGCGCCACATCTATAATGGTCCGAGGCACACTGCACAGCATGTCACCATTGGCATGGTGGGCTACCCGAATGTGGGCAAGAGCAGCACGATTAACTCACTGATGACTGTGAAGAAGGTGTCCGTGTCTGCGACGCCCGGCAAGACAAAGCGTTTCCAGACGCTCTTCCTGGACAAGGATATTCTGCTCTGTGATTGTCCCGGCCTGGTGATGCCCAGTTTTGTGCTCACCAAGGCCGACATGTTGCTCAATGGCATATTGCCAATTGATCAAATGCGCGATCATGTGCCCGCCGTGAATTTGCTCTGCGAGCGAATACCTCGTCATGTGCTCGAGGATAAGTACGGCATTGTGATAGCCAAGCCCCTGGAGGGCGAGGATCCGAATCGACCACCATTCGCCGAGGAGCTGTTGCTTGCCTATGGCTGTAAGTAAAACGTGAAATATTGTCTTATGTTTCACAGACTAAATTCAATGAAACATTTCACAGATAATCGCGGCTTCATGACCTCAAATGGCCAGCCAGATCAGGCGCGCTCAGCTCGCTATGTATTGAAGGACTACGTCAATGGCAAGCTGCTGTTTGCACTAGGCCCACCGTCTGTCCTTCAGTCCGAATATCACAAATTTCCGGAGCGTCAACGTAAGCCGGTTGAGGAATCACAGCTGCCCGGACAACAGCAACGAGCCATGCGTGTAAGTTGACAGCTAGATCCGCCGTTCTGGGCCACAACTGAAGTTGCATTTATTCACAGATCGATAAGAGCTCCTCCAAGGAATTAGATCAACAGTTCTTCACCTCCAAGCCAAGCGTTGCCCATGTAAAGGGTCGCACCAACTTTCCACATGTACGCCTGGCAAACGATGGCAACCTCGTCGCTGGCGAGGCGCCCGCCAAGCCCTGGCGCAACGTGAAAAAAGAGCGACGCGAGAAGCTGCGCAAGAAGTTCTCCCACCTGGATGAGCACTAGCTGGAACAGACAGAGAGAAACCACACAAGCACAGTGGTGCTGTTTTTAAATTACCAACTGTTTTTAAATTACTTTTAGTCTAAGAATTAATTTACATGCCGCTCTGACGAATGCCAGCTCCCAGAGATGGCCATTTGCGTGGCTCAACCAAGTGTACATAGATCGACATCTGAATCATTCAAGTAAAGTAACTTAATTTTTTTTTTCCACTGTTTGCAAGATATTAAGTTATGGATTTAAGTGAAAAACAAATTCTAATCAATATATAATTATTTGCAATTTTAATTCTCTGTTTACTTTCATTGTTGCCGAAGATCAGTTCTCAATCTTGCTTTACTATATATACACCTATGCTATATAGAAGCACTCAAGCCGCTCAGCTGCCTGTGAAACACATTCATATCGCCATCTCATGCAACCGGCTCGCGTGTCTTGCCTCTCTCTCTCTGTGCCGCGCATTGGCTCTGCAGGGCTGCACATGCCTTCATTTATAGCATATCAAATATGCAGCTACAGAATTACAAGACGCTCTCCAAACGAGTTTCAATACGCTGTTGTTGTAAATGGAGCACTAGGGACATCAGCTGGCGTTTGTAACCGACAGCAGAGTGAGGCGTTCGATCGGAGTTCATATAGAGAACAATTTGAGCGGTTTTAAAATATGTATTCTTATTAATTTAGTATTATTTATATCTCTTTTTTCATATATATGTATTATTGAAAAGCAATATAGTTACTTTGATTGTGGCATATCTTGGATTTGTAATTGTAATACAGTCGGCTCTCGTTATTTCGAAATTCATGGGACTCTTAAAATATTTCGAACTGTCGAGTGTTTAACCAGATGAGTACGAATTACCGCGTCTGAGCAATGATTTTTAGTTCGAATTACTGGGTGATAACTTTGAATTAATGAGAGGTTCGAAATAACGCAGGTTTGAAATAACAAGAGTCGACTGTATCATATCTTGGATGTAGATTTCTTGATATTCGATTGTATATTTCTTGGATTGAATAGTTTCGATCTAAAAATCTAATTTTGAGATTGAATGAATGAGCTGACTACTCTGAAGTCGGTTAGGAACTAGTATAAGCTATTTAGATTGTATTTGTAATGAATACAAATATTATTATATAAACTATGTAGATTCTTTTCTCAGGCTCTGCCAAAATTGAACTTAAACTTGAAATATAAATACATAATTCAGAAAAACATCTGTTGTGTACAATAATTAAATTTTCCTAACAATGATTTTCCATAGATAATGGGTTCAGGGTATAAAAAAGTACTATAATATATAAATAATCATATATAATAATATATTTCAGCTGAAACTCGCTGAAACTCAGCTGATTTCGTAGTTCAATATAATATATACCCTTAATGTGGAATTCTGAAATCGAGTTTCTTCATATATCATATGGAACTGTGAAATCCAGTTCGATAAATTGGGTTATAGTATAAACAATCCATATTTTTCATAACTAAAAAATTTCAAGCTATAGCTCAAGGTTCAAAAAGTCTTAAAAAGTAATTTAGTTAAGCTGCATTACTATTGCTCCATTAATCGACATGAATTAAAGGGTATTTCTAGGTCGGTGCTGCTCAGAACATTTACCATTCAATAACAAAATACAAAATATGTTCAGCTCTTTTTATGGAATGTGTTGCCGGAGCAAGTTGTTGTTCTTGTGCTTGTTGATTCAGTTGACAAAGAAAGTGGAAAGAGAGAAGCAGCGGGAGAGGGAGAAGGAGAAGCAGAAGAAGAAGTTGCTCTTGCTGCTGCAAAACTGAACTTTGGATCAAGCAACATCAGCGATAGCTGCTGAGCGACCTCCTCGACTTTGCGTCGATGTTGATAACCAGCCACATGTGTGCGTGTGTAGATGTGTGTGTGTCTGTGTGTATGCACATATGTAGCTGCGATCTGTTTGTGCGCTGCGCTTGCCGCACTCAACACTTAGGTGAAGTGAACTAGTCTGTTCTCCAACGTTGCAATGAGTGAAGGTGGAAACGCTGCTCCGGCCACTCCGACGGCCAATTTCAAAACGTTCAGGGAGCTGCGATTGGAGCGTCGCGGTGCGCTCCTGGAGATTCAATTCAATCGGCCGGCGGTGCAGAATGCGCTGCGCCGTCGCACCGTCTACGAGCTGCTGCGCGCCTTGGACGTGGCCAATGCGGACGAGACGGTCAGCCTCGTTGTGCTGACGGGCAATGCAAAGGCGTTCACCTCGGGCAACGACCTCACCGATCTGCTCGCGCTCCAGCGGAAGAGCGGCACCGAGGCACTGGACCTGCACTTTCGCGCCTCGAACTATGTGATGAAGTCGCTGGTGAAGAAGATGCTCAACAATCGCAAGGTCCTGGTGGCCCTGGTCCAGGGCAACTGCATTGGCCTGGGCGTTGTCATCTGCGCGCTGTGCGACATTATCTACGCCACGGAATCGGCCCAGTTCTGGATGCCCTTCTCGCAGCTGGGCCTGTGCGCCGAGGGCGCCACCAGCTGGACGCTGCCCCAGCTGCTGGGCCGCAGCAAGGCAGCGGAGCTGCTGCTGTTCGGCGAGCGGCTGGACGGCAAGGCGGCACTGCAGCACGGCATGATCGCCAGCCTGGTGACCGACGAGCAGGAGTTCTGGAGGCGCATGGAGCAGCATTCCCGACTGCCGGCCGCCTCGTTGCGCAGCTCCAAAAAGCTGCTGCTGCAGCCATGGCGCCAGCAGCTGCTCGACGCCCTGGACGCCGAGTGCGAACAGCTGGAGGCACTGCGTCTCGGCCCCACCTATCGAGCCCAAATAATGGCCTTTGCCAGAAGGAGCAAGCTGTGAATTCCTCTAATTGCCTAGATAATAGGTACACTAAGATAATATTCCTGGTAAACTTTTTTTTTTTTTTCATAATTTTAATGTGTTCAAATAAAAATGTATCAAAGAAACATGGAGAGTGAATACGCATGCGGAAAAGAGAGAGGCAGAGAGAGAGAGAGAGAGAGAGAGAGAGAGAGAGAGAGAGAGAGAGAGAGAGAGAAAGCCTTCAAAGCAGATACATATGCATATAGAAAGAGAAAACAATTGCGAGAGAGGGAGCGAGAACAGGGAGAGTTTTCGAAGCAGAGAAATTGGCTGAGAAAGGAAAAGAGAAAGATGTAGGAAAAATAACAAAGCAGATTAATGATAGACAGAGAGAAGTGTATTGAATTGGAGAATGTGAGACAGAAGGAGAATGAGTAAGGAAGAGAGAGAGTGAGAGTGAGAGTAAGAGAGAGAGAGAGAGAGAGAGAGAGAGAGACAGAGGGAGAGAAATAAATATAGAGACGAAAATATTGACTGGGATTAAGAGAGATAGAGAGTAAGAAAGGTGAGAAACAGAGAATAGAGAATAGTGAATGATGCACAGAGGACGATTTATAAACAAAGAGAGAGAGAGAGAGAGGGAGTGAGAGTGAGAGAGATGGAAAGGCAAGTGAAACAATTGCGAAATACATAAATAGGTTGATAGACAGTGGGAGAGAATAGGAATATGAGAGACACACAATGAGAGGGGGGCAAATAAATAACGTGAAATGCAAAAACAGAGAGAGACACAGCTTGGGAGATAGAGAGAGAGCTGCGGACAACCAGAGCAAGAGAGCCAGCAGCAGTAAAAGAATTAGCGAGATAGGGTAGGGAGAGAGAGAAAGAGAGGGAGAGGTAGTGGGCTAGCATAAAGTAAGATAGAAACGAATTGCATGCAGAAATCCAGTAATCTTGGCCAAACATTCTTAATCAGGTAATCCTAATGTTTGTTTCGTCAAGCAGTCAACTCGACTGATACCATAAACCAGTCCAGACACTCGAAAGCCATATGCAAGTTGTGCATGAGATATCTTTGTATATCTACATATATCGTCTATAGAGTGCTTAGCTGTGCCGTCTGTTTGATATCAAGTTGTCTCTTTCCATTTATCAGTCGAGACTTCGATGCTGCAATCTCTTGCGTTCCATACCATCGCTTCCATTGTTCACTTGATAAAGACTTACCATTATCAGCTCTACAGATTGACTGAGTTAGCATTTTAGTTTAGCTATACTATAGATCAGCTATACTAAAGATTATATACAGTGAGGCCTATGTCGATATGGTACGATCTGCAGCCTGCAGAGACTCCACCTTGAATAAACCCCATACAGACATACATACATATGCCTAGATATTCTATAGATCTATAGATCTATGTTCCGCTCTAGATTGAAGAGAAATCATTTTGCATTTTGATTGAAAGAAAGGAGTTTGTATTTTTATATAATTTCTCAGAATTTGAGCTGTGTTATTGCCGTTGATGCTATAACCATGTTTTTTTTTTTTTTTCATTTT